CAAATGTAATCGCATGGCAGGATGCTGTAAAAGGACCAAACTTCAGCCAGGAGAACAACTGAGATAATCCATCCACAATACGAGGTTAGTCATTCATATACTGCTGCATGGGCTGGGCTGTAGTTACATCCTACGTTTTTAAAAACTGAGCTTAAATAAATGATTAGCGGTAATAAAAGCCGAGGGAGGTCAACAGTGATCACTGACTGTTTTAGGAGCTTTTTGAGATTAAATAGAAGAAAATACAAAACATTAAACATGTTAACAACACAAAAGCCATATTAAACGCAGACTACTTTAGACCCGGAAGTAGGATTCGTCACGTCATCACTTAACAATTGGATTGCAGTTTTAACATTTCACATGTGATCCATTTTGTCGTATAAAAGGTAAACTTAATTTAGTCTGCCAGAAGTTTGTTCTTGGTTATTAAGGCAAAATACCCTACGTTCCAAATAATCATTTTTGTATTGTGTGATGGTGGCATTTTGAATCCTTTAACATTTACCTAAGACCTGAGTACGGTGTGTACTCAGGCATGAAGCCAGTTCTGCCATTCCTCGGTCAAGTAAACAGTAAGTCAGGTGATGTAAATTAATAAAGAAAGCCACAATTAGCAGGTCATGTGGCGTGGGGGGTGAAGGAACCTGTATTATAAAGTAGCTAATGACAGTCAAATTGTCTTCTTTTATTGTAAGCCAGAGATGAATAAATATTCTTCTATAACATGAGCTCTTTGTGATTTGATGATGTGTCTACATAATAAAACTGTACTCAATCTGTTTATGACCTCAAGTGAGGGAGGTTAATCAGACTTTAAGAAGTAATGACCTACAGAGTTCTAGACCTTTTCAAGATTACAATATACGTCAGGTGAGCAATTTCTTATTATCAAGATGTTTTTTCTATTGATTCCAGCTGATGAAGTGATCCAGCAGTTCTGTCAGATGTGTGATGAATATTAGATCAGAGTTAAGAAGACTAGAATAGTACGTGATTCATTGTCCCAGAGTCAATGATTTTGACTTTTTAAAAAGTCACTGAAAGGCTTTGAAACATGCTAGGGACAGGCGTGTTTGGCAGTAAGTTGTTATGAAAAAATCTGAATCCAGATATTGAAAACTTTTACCAGAAATTGAAGTACCTACCCTAGAAGCTCTTTGCATCGGCGCACTTTGATGATTTATGCTATTACATCCAGGTTTCCATTAACATTCCTGTGACAGTTCAAATAAGCAACATGGATCAGTCACGCTTTTCCCATTCTGAATGGCAGGTAGTTTTTTGTGTCAAGGCTAGAGATGGGAATTGATAAGATTTTGTAGATTTCTTTAATGTGATGTGCTTATTGATCTGGTTCTTTATCAATTCTTGGCTCAATTATGTGAGAAAATGAGTACAGCGAGGTTTTTTTGTCAGAACAGCTTCATTATCTAAAGTCCCAAACAGAGTACTGCTTAATGCTAGCTGGCATCTGAGGTGGAGGAAATGAGAGCATGTTTGTGTGGCATTTGTTTTAATTTATAATAATGGATTGCATTTATATAGCGCTTTTCTGGGCATCCAAAGCACTTTACAATTCTACTATTCATTCACCCACTGGTGCAGGTAAACCACAGTTGTAGCCACAGTTGCCCTGGGGCAGGCTGACAGAAGTGAGGCTGCCATATCGCAACATCGGCCCCTCTGGCCAACACCAGCAGGCGGTCTTGCTCAAGAGAGAGAGAGCAGGGGGATCGAACCGGCAACCTTCCGGTTACAGATGAGCTTCCCAATCCTCTGAACCCTCTTCCCAACCCTCAATTTAAGCTTTAAGCATGGTGCTAATGTTATTATATTTCAGCTTATTTAGTGACAGTTACCACTGAGCAGCACTGTTGGGCGACAGTAGCAACAGCACTTGTTCTGCATGTATTTAGAGCCTCACATACATGGAAGTGAAGCTCACGTTGTGTGTAAGATGTTTCAGCATGTTGCTGGTGTTTCCATCCCTACCTGAAATAATCACTTTGTGACTTTGTAAACACAACTGTTCTCTTCTTTCTTAGTGAAATCAAGTCATGCTCTGAGCCTCTTCTTCCTCTCTGCCATAACTCCTTTATGTGGTAGCACTAGACATGTGTATGAGGTTGTTTTGCAATCAAAGTGCACACTGCCAGCACCTGCAAGCATTGATAAAGGAATTGATAAGCTCAGAGGCATAGAAATCTGATACTTTAAAACATTTGAAGCTATTTCTCAAGTGGCACTGGTTCTTAGTTCCCTTGAGAACCTCTTGCATTTTCTTTTTTAGTTTCAACTTTAGGGAAAGTATTTCACATCACAAGCGAGATCTTTGAGTAAGGCCTCAGTCATACAGGCCTAGAGACCAACTAGGCAACCATCTGGTAACTTCTACTCGCAAGGAAAAAATGTGTATTCTATGACAAGCTGGGGAGGTTTTTCTCGCAGTTGTTAATGGGAACCTTGCTTCAAAGAGGCACATGGTGCTGTTGTTTTGGTTGCTAGCAGGTTGTTGCAGTTGGCAATAGTTTGTGTGGAAGATGTTGACTTGCTACTCAAGCTACTCACAAAGCAGGAGACAATCTATGAAAAAAAATATTCGCCTTAGAAACACAAGTTGTTCCTTATGTGCTGGAATGTGTAGAAAATAGGTTTAAATGTTAAAGTAATTTATTCAAGTCAGACAATGTTGCATATAATTAAATTTTTTCTTGATGCATAAAGTTAAAAGATTAAAACTGATAAAACAAGTTAAAAAAAGAGACTTTTCCATTTGATTACATTTTGTATGATGGATTATGAAGAAAAAGTAGAATTGGGCTGAAAGATCTATCACTTTATCACCTATTCAGGTTGCAAATCGTGCTTTTAAAAAGTAACTAAGTAATTAATTACTTTTGAAAATAAGTAATCAGTAAAGTAACGGGATTACTTTTTGGGGAAGTAATCAGTAATTAGTTACTGATTACTTTTTTCAAGTAACTTGACCAACACTGCTGATGACTGACAAAAATAATCCATGTAAAGTTTAGCTGTGTAATACCAGCGAATCATCATGTAGCTGACCAAAGTAAAAAAAAAACCACACAACACTGACTAAAGATTTAGCTTGCATTTCATGCTACACTATTCTGTCCACGCCACATGTAGCGTAATGACGTTATACTGGGTGTTTCACGCTTTATCTCCTTGCAGTTGTTGTTGCTGCTGCAGTGTCAAATGCCATTTTGTCATGTTCGCATTTTTATTAGTGGTTAAAATGAAAACAGAAAAAACGCTGTCCGAGGTAAGTAGGTCTTGGAACAGCTCCTAGATCCTCACCAATAAAGGATTTTTAAGACTGATATGGATTTGGTGATTTAAAAATCTGATGTATCTGCAAGTATGTTTTTTATTATTTCAGACACATCTTAACAAAACCTGTTAAATTTATTTATTCTATAATGCTCTGTCCCATGCTTCGCAGATCAGTTAGTTTTTGTGTATTTTCCTTTGTCTGCCAATAGATGACCAAATGGCTAATATTGACCGACAATATCAGCCCGCCGAAAAATCGGTGGACCCCAAGTAGTTACCCTTTGGGAATCCCAAAAAGTCTTTGTTCGGAAAACACCTACAGTGGATCTACTGGACAACGGATGTTGAATATAGAGGTGCCTGGCAGGGGGAAAAGAGGAATCCCACAAAGGAGGTTCATGGATGTAGTGAAAGAGGACATGGAGTTTGTGTATTTGTGTGACAGAATTAGATTTTAGGAATAGGGTGAGAGGGAAGCAGATCATCTGCTGGTGCAGCCCCAGAAGGGAGCAACCTCAAGAAAAGCTGTATATATGATATTTTTTAACCTTTAAGTGTCTGCTGCTGCATCACTGTACACACTCCCGCAAATGTATGAGGAGAACCGGAGTTAGAAAGCTGGTGTGTAGGTTCTAGGCTTGGTCTGTGAGCCTCGTTCCTAGTGGAGGAACGAGGCTAATCAGTTTCCTATTAGTGGTTTGTTTGGGTTTGTAGCCAGGGTAGGAGCTCATCATCATCAGCTCCTCACCACAAGCTGCGCTCCAAATACTTGTGTCAGCTAAGCTCGGCCACCATCCATCACTCGGAGGCCACGATCCTCTATATAACGTATTTGTTCAGTGGAGTCGTGACTCACCTTTGTGCTCTCGTCTGTTTACTTCTGCTTTGTCATACTTGGCGTTCGAGTCGTTCTGTGTTTGTATTGTGCATTTTTAAACAAAACCAAAAAAGTGATGACTTCAGTCATGAGAAACACCGATTTTAGAGATAAAGTCCTGCTTTATTTTATTCCTTTTCTGTACTTTGACAGTTCTTCCACTTTTGATCACAAGCTTCTTTGTTGGATGGTGACGAAGACGAGTGAAATAGATGAGTTATGTAAGAGGCTGTGTTTTGACTGGGAAGCAACGACAAGAAAATAACAAAGTAGGCCAAAAACCACCAAAACAGTTTATTAACTGAGAATTAGATGTCATGAAACAAGGGTTGTTTTTTTTTAAAGAAAAAAGATAAAGGCTTATGTAACTGTGGCTGGTGGCCCCAAATTCTGTTTCATTTGAAAGATAGAGTTTTGAATTAAAGTTGTTTACCAAATACTTAATTCATTAATCATCACACACTTTACTTACCCCATTTCTTTATTTTAAGTCTCTTTCGTCCCTCCTTAACTCTGCCTTGCTTGTGTTTTTTGCATATTTTCCAGTTCTTCTTTGCGCTCTTATCTCATAACTCATTTATTTGGTTTCCTTTGCCCCTGTCACGCTGCCTCATTTTATCGTCTCCTTTCCATCACGTCTCTCATTTTTTTCCTGTACCAATTCCCAACTCTCCTGACCTTCCTGCCAATTACCTGTATGTCCCCATCATCCCGTCATCTACCTTCCTTCCAGATAATTCCTTTCCTCCATCACCCACTCCTTCCCTTTTAACCTTCCAGTGCTCCTGTTATCCACACACTAACTTGTTTCTACTTCCTGCAGACCCTGTGGTGCTGGGCAGAGCGTTATGGCTCAGACGCTGCAGATGGCGATCCCTAACTTTGGCAACAATGTCCTGGAGTGTCTGAACGAGCAGCGGCTGCAGGGCCTCTACTGTGACGTCTCCGTGGTCGTCAAGGGACATGCCTTCAAGGTCAGAATTAAGTTTTTTGAAGACTTCATTCAAACTAATATAGCTAACGCCGTTTTTGTTTGACCTGAATACAGGCAGAATCAAAAGCGCATATTTAAAGTTAAAAGTAATTTATCTTTTTATGTCTCCACATAGCTTACTCTCATTGCCAAACACATTCTTGTTGTCTGTGCACCCATCCATGCTGAATACAACTCTTTACTGTAATCTATTTACTTTGAATTTCTCCAAATTTGGCAGAAATGTGCACTCTCACTAAAGTATGAAAGGATCTCAATGTCACTGTGACATTTCAAAAGATGTTTTTGCTTATAACTCAAGAAAACTTTTACTGATTATGACAACATTTATGTCGGATGACTCAAATGCAAAAGCACTAGTGTTATTAATTTTTCAACGTCATAAGTGAAAAAGAGAAGAAGAGATTGTGGCCATATTTCATCAGTGGACAGATAATGACCTGGTGACACTGATCTTTGGTGTCAGCCTATCAAATTCCTTTATAGTTGTTTTTAGGGATGTAGTTGTTAGTGAGTTGTTATCAAGGTGAGCGAACTGATCTGTGGGAGTCATCTATTCTTTGCAGTCAATTCTGTGTTGTTCTGTTTGCTCCTGTTGGTGTGGAAGAACTCGACTGGCCTGCACAGAGTCCTGACCTCAGCCTCATACACCTTTAGAATTAGTTAGAGCAGAGACTGTGCGCCTTATTATCCAAAAATCTGTGTCTGAACACACAAATGCACTTCTGGAAGAATGGTCAAAAATTCCCATAAACACTCCTAAATATTGTGGAAAGCCCTCCCAGATAAATTGAAGCTGATATCATATCAAACCCTATGGATTAAGAACTCTTTTTTATATGCACGTGAAGGCAGATGAGCGAATACTTTTGGCAGTATGTTTGGAGGTATTTCACACGTTTCACCAGTAAGTGTTCTTTTAAGTTTGCAGTAACTTTTGACTTAATGCAAACTGCACAGCATGGACATATAACTTGACGGGACTGAGAAGCTTTGACAGCGACATTGCTGTTGCCGTCCCTTCTCTCTCACTATGTTCAGTGTAACACTTGTTGGGGAGCTTTTTTTGCACTCCATGAATATATTTTCACATTATCTGTCTCTTGTCAGCTCCACTCCACATGCTAATAATTACTATGACATACCAATTCAATACATTTCTATTCTTGGGTGTATTTATTTGCCACAGTTTGTTTTACAAAGTTAGTGTTTAAGTAGAGCCTCATGTTGGCTTACACATAAAGACTGACTCCCAGTCTCTTCCTCAGAGTGAATACAGCTTATTATTTTGACATTGTTCTCTGACAGCTACTCACTAAATGGAAGATAACCCAAGCCAAGGTGTCGTATTTGAACTGGAAAAATCTCAGCCACTGCAACCATAGTCTTCTACGTATGAGTCTAGACAAGCACGGATGTAAAATGCAGCTTGACTCAGTTCACTGAGAGACACAGCGACAAGCTGGTAATTCTAGGTCCTCGTGTTTCCTTGTTGCCAGAATGTGCAGATGAATTGCCTGGAGTACTGTTTGTGCATGTAGTGTCAGGATTTTGGTGAGAATCTCTTGGTAGGATAAAAAAACGATGCCTCGGGTCAAAAACTAATAGTCTCAACATTTTTTGAGCTTCCTTTGTCTGCCTCTCCTGATCAGTCAATAAACTTAGTTTTGGACTGTTTAGTGCAATTTGACATCGTAACCTGAAGACACTAATTTTGGCAGTGCTTCAAAAGTTACTGTTGAGCAATACGTGAAGTTTCCTTTACAACAGGATGCAATTTTCATGCTTTGCATTAAAATAAATTCAACCAGAGATTAACAATAAAAATGTATTAGTCTTCTTCTGTTACTACTTTCCTGTTTGTTTATGTCTTCTGCCTTACTGACAACAAACATGAGCAAGTGCAAATCTCCGGATATGGATGTTGATATATACTGTTTACTGCATCGGAGTCTATGTATTTTTAAACCCTTACGACTTCACTACCCCTGCTGTTTACCCCTCAGGCCCACCGTGCAGTGCTGGCAGCCAGCAGCTCCTACTTCCGGGACCTGTTCAATGCTGGGGGGAAGAGCTCGGTGGTGGAGCTACCCCCGGCCGTGCAGCCGCAGAGCTTCCAGCAGATCCTGGCCTTCTGCTACACGGGGCGCCTCAGCATGAATGTGGGAGACCAGTTTCTGCTCATGTACACCGCCGGCTTCCTCCAGATCCAACAGATCATGGAGAAAGGCACCGAGTTTTTCCTTAAGGTAAGCTGATAATGAAGCAATCACAAATCGAGTCATTTAAACGTCTGTTAAAGTTGAATGCAAATGTAGAAGAGCATCCATAGGAACACTTCTGTGAATATGAGGATTATTTAAATGTAATCAAAACGAAGCAGATGTAAAAATAGCCGTTTCTGCGTGCTGCCACCGTGTTACCTGTTGTGCGTGACATTATGCGTGGCATTATGTTGTGATGGGGGCGTCTCTGTTTGTAGACACGTTCTCGTGAATCGAGAATAATTGAAACGTCGTACTGACACTACAGGTTCCCTCTATAGTAGCAGATGATCTGATTAGATCTGGAGTGCCTGGCTGCATAAATTAGCATATTAATGAGGGGGACTGATTTCCTTGAAAGTTCCACTTAACACCTCTAGACACAGGGTTGATAAAATGCCAGCTATATGCTAGTAGACCAGTAGAAAAACGATCAATACAACAAGATTTGATACTAGAAAAGTCATATCGTGCAATCACAGTTTACTGTTCCTAAAATGTTCATTATTTGTAGTTTTCTTACTCCATCAGCTATTTTGGCAGAAATTTTTGATAGAATTGTTAATACAATGACCAAATAGTGCTAAAAATGAACGATCTTTTAGTTCCCAGTAGTGTTGTGATGTTAAATAGCCAGGATGTCCATGATTGATTCATGATTACTAGATTTAAAGTTGCCTTATATGTTTTGTGTGTGTGAATGTTTCATTAAGGAGAATTCTTTTCAGCATTATAATATGGAGACTGTCAATTTTGAACTCCAGGACTTTTCGCTTAATTTGATTATACTGCTTTAGATTGTAACCACAATAACATGAACATATTAACCTTTTAATCAGCACATATTTTTCAGATATTACTATTTTATTGTTAAACTACTACTGGAGCATTCCACTGGCTCATTGATGGCTTGTATGGTCATTTGTTTCTGGCTTCTTTGTACCATTATACATGAACTTCAGGTGTGAATTACTTTGGTCATTTCCATAGATTGTGTATAGAAGATTAGCTAGCTAGTGCTAAGTAACATACAAATAAAACAGAAGTTTCTTCTTAACTGAGGCCAAGTGCAAACTTCTTGGACAGACTTTTTATTAGTTACTTCTAATAAAATGACAAAATATTCTGATAACGTAAGCTACACCCCTAATTTTAAGCCTTAAAGAAAAAGAATAGATCAGTGATCCCCCCCCCGCCTCATAAAAACAATGATGCAAAGACTCCAGCTCTGTTTGTTGAATCACCCTTTTAAGGATTGTTTTCGGAAATTTAATATTTGGGTATGTTCGGACAGAGGATCAACTCAATTTTGGAGCGAGCCTCTGTTGTCCACTAGAGGAACTGCAGGTTTTGTAATACAAGTGTTGGCTTCATTTGTTCAAGCTCAGGATGCTTCCTAATGTCATCATTTACATTCTTTATTACTAAATTATTACACCACTGCTGCCATGTGTTGCCTGAGATTTAAAACAGAGTGCTGGACACATTTTTGATACCTTATTTGAGAAATGTTAAGCCCAGCTCCATCAAACAACCAAGTTTCCCTCAGTAAATATTTAATATATGTATATATTTAATAGTGCTGTCTCTTTTTACCTGTCTTCAGTGCTACCGTCAGATTTGAGTAGATATCAGACATACAGTATGTTTACAGTAGATTTACCCTTCTAATGGCATAATATGTTTTGATCATATTCATGAAACTTTCCCCACACCAGGTCTCCTCTCCAAGCTGTGACTCCCAGGGTCTCCACACCGAGGAGACCCCATCCTCTGAGCCTCAGAGCCCCGTCACTCAAACAGTGGGAGTGGGCGGAGTTGGCATCGGTGCTGCCACTGTAGGGAGGCCTGCCTCCTGCCTGACACCCCTTCCCCTCGTGTCCAAGGTGAAGACTGAACATACAGCCACAACACCTCAGCCAGCTCCACAGCCACAGCAGGTAGGTTTGGTCTGGGCCTTGCTACACAACCCCACATGCTTTTGTCTTTTCTTTCTTTTTTGGCGGATGAATCATAATCTTGAAATGAAGTAAGAGTCCAAAAACTTTCCGAGGAAGGAACATGAATTTTTTTAAAGGTCAGACTCCTTATTCGGTTACTTCAGCTTCAGGTAGAGTCAGATTACCCTAATAACGAAGTATATATACTGGATATGTTCATTTCTTTTCATTGAAAATGGAGGAAAGCATCTGTTGTGAGTTCCAAAAATAGTTTTCATGTGATGTCAAGTGCTGCTAATCTGCATATCTCTTTAGGGGCAGTGTGATCATCATCACATACTTTTGGTATAGATAAGCAAACATCATCATATTTGTCAGGTGTAGTGTTTCCCCATCAGTGGCAGATTTAACGTTAGTTGTGTGTGAGACGTGCGATCTTGTTAAAGCTGATATATTGCATGTTACTTCTTATTTTCACTTAACATTTCTGTAAGTGAAATGTTAACCTGTAGACGTCAGCCTTTTTCCACCACTGATTTGTTTTCACAGTTAAAAAGACAAAAAAAAAAACAAACAGAGACTGAAACATTGAATATTGAAATAGTGCCAAGAAAACAGATCATCAGATATTTTCAGACGATTTAGAAAAATAGCAAGAGGGCTGGTTATTAAATATAATTATTTTAATAAAAGTTGGGCCCAATTAATCAGTTTCTGTTACAGCTTGTGTTAGGATTTATTTATGTGATTGTTAAATCAGGAGTGTTAACATCATTGGAGTTCATATTTGAGACAAATATTCCCATTTTTCTTTTAGTGTAAAGAAGTACATTTTGATTATTTATTGACACATTTAATGTAATTAATTTTAATTTTAAATAATAAGTGTCCCTCGGGGTGTCCTGTGCGAGGTGCTGCGGGAGTATGGGGTGTCTGGCCCATTGCTACGGGCCATTCGATCCCTATACAACCGTTGCAAGTGCTTGGTTTGCATTGCTGGCAATAAGTCGGACTCGTTACTGGTGGATGATGGGCTCTGCCACCATTTCTGTTCATAAATTTTATGGACAGGATTTCTAGGCGCAGCCAAGTGGTGGAGGGCTTTCACTTCGGTGGCCTCAGAAACTCGTCAGAACCACATCATCTGCGGATGATGTGGTTCTGTTGGCTTCATCGGATGATGGCCTCCAGCTCGCACTGGTACGGTTCACAGCCGAGTGTGAAGCAGCAGGAATTAGGATCAGCACCTCCAAATCTGAGGCCATGGTTCTCAGCCGGGTGGAGTGCCCACTCCGGGTTGGGGATGAGTTCCTGCCCCAAGTGGAGGAGTTCAAGTATCTTGGGGTCTTGTTCGCGAGAAGGGAGCCGGAGATCGAAAGACGGATTGGTGCTGCGGACGCTGCACCGGTATGTCGTGGTGAAGAGAGAGCTGAGTGTAAAAGCGAAGCTCTCAATTTACCGGTCGATCTACGCCCATACCCTCACCTATGGCCACGAGCTGTGGGTAGTGACCCGAGATCACGGATACAAGCGGCGGAAATGAGCTTCCTCCGAAGGGTGGCTGGCCTCTCCCTTAGAGATAGGGTGAGAAATTCAACCATCCAGGAGGGGCTCAGAGTAGAGCAGCTGCTGCTCCACATCGAAAGGAGCCAGTTGAGGTGGTTCGGGCATCTGACAAGGATGCCCCCTGGGCGCCTCCTGGGTGAGGTGATCCGGGCATGTCCCACTGGGAGGAGGCCCCGGGCAGCCCCAGGACACGCTGGAGAGATTATATCTCTCGTTTGGCCTGGGAACTCCTTGGTATTCCCCTGGATAAGCTGGATGAGGTGGCTGGGGAGAGGGAGGTCTGGGCTTCTCTGCTTAGGCTGCTGCCCCCGCGACCCGGCCTCAGATAAAGCGGAAGAAGATGGATGGGTGGATAGATGGATGGAATTTTAAATAATAAACTTTATATAAAGCAAATGAACATCCTGAGATTTGCATTTTGTCATTCTGCTGCCAAAACTACACGCAGAAAATGTAACCGCATCTTTCATTTTCATGCTCTCATTCTCTGCAAAGCCTTCAGTGGACTGGATTTCCAAGGCTGATTCTGGCCTTTGGGTCATATATTTGATACTCCCGATAGCTCAGTTACATATTATTGGCTGTGTGAAATTGTGCCTTTAATATAATATTCTTGAAAACTGATAAAGGCTTGAGATGTTAAAGCTAAAATAGAGAAAAAAGCATCCACCATCAGTGTGACATTGCCCAGGTATGACACCATGTACCAGAACAACTCCATTCATAATATATGCAGAATTTGTGATTTGTGTTTATTGTCATTTTCTCAGTGTGATTTTTTTGAATTACAAACGGGGATGCAGGGTAGCATGGTGGCGCAGTGGTTAGCAATGTTGCCTCACAGAAAGAAGGTCCTGAGTTTGACACCGAAGATCATTTCTACATAGCTGAATTCTATTGTACTAAAAAGAAAACCCACCTTCATCTATTGAAATCCTTTGTTGATAAACTTATGACCGTAGCGACCTGGAATTTTGTACTTGTAAGAAGTACATCTTCCCCTGTCTGAGATGGTCAGTGGGAGGCATTTGACGAACTGACAATGAGTGGCTGAATGAATGTTTTATCTCAAACCCATCTTGCTTCATTACAGTCAAATCATTTCTAATAACGAGCATGTGTGCTCTGTTTCAGCTGAGGCCGGCACCTCTGTTCAATATATGTGCATTAAAAACGTGCTGCCAGAACCTCCAGTGATATTTGTTTGATGCTGCTTGAGATGGGAAACGTATCATTTGTACTCTAAGCCACGAAACCATGAAATGACATTTGTTTATTGCTGTGTTTTATTGAGTGTTCCAGTCAGGCGCTGGTTTATAACCAGCATGTTTCTCTCCTTCTCTCTCTTCCTCAGCCGGAGGGCTCTCCCTACTCTGTGGTCTGCACCCCTGTGGCCAAGCGGCTATGGGAGGGGGGTAACCGTGATGGGGGAGGGGGGTCAGGAGGGGGCGGGGGCGGCGGGTTGAGGAAGGCCGCACGCTATTCTTCCTCCTCCTCTTCCTCGTCCTCTTCCAATACAATAACCCAGGACGCTTCTGGCCGCGGACCTGCCGCTAACGCCTCTCTGGTGGGCAGTGGAGGCAGCGCTTTAGTGGGAGGAGCTGTGCTCAACAGTAACCACAACAATAACAACAACAACGGCGGGACCCCAGAGGGTACGAGCCCGGGCACCCTGAGCATGTACACCAGCGACTCGCCCATCAGTTACCACGACGATGAGGAGGAGGATGATATAGCAGATGAGACTGAAGAGCAGTACAGACAGATCTGCAACATGTACACCATGTACAGCATGCTGAACGCCGGAGCAGCAGGTAAGCGCTGACAGCAGGATAAATGCATCAGCGGGTGAGTTCATTCCAGGGTTACTGTGCAGCTCCGTCTAAAAGTTTCCTCCTCTGATCTCTGCGGCGCTTGTAGTGTGTTTACGAGTACGAATGGTGGAAAGTTTATTTATCCAACTTTCTCAATAGTGGAGGATGTTAGCGAGAGCGAAATGTTCAAAACACTGAAACCGCTGAAAGCTGTGGTCCTGCTTTAAGTTTGTGAGCTGTTTATGGTCTGCTTGATCACTAGTTTGAGGACAATCACATGGAGGTTTGAATGGAACGATGGTGAATAAAGTTGGTCGAACGGTATTTTGTTACATGCAGGAATTGGAAACTGGGGCACAGCGAGGTTTGTTGTTTATTGAATGTTTTAGGATCAGACTTGAGACTGAAAAGTTCGAAGGAGCAGCATCATGTGCTTACAGTAAATATGCAGTGGTTTCAAACAAGAAGGACCATTAACAGAAGTACATTTAGAACTGGATATTAAACGTTTATTGCTAACGTGTATGATTGAACGGCCTGCATCCAGTTTTTTTAACATCTGAGAGCTGGCCACCTTTGTAATTCCCTTAAGAAGTTTTGTATCACTGCTGAAAAGCTGTTGCTACTATATTACATTTTTAAATGATCCCTAACCCTCATTGCAAAAAAAAAAGAAAGGTAACACTCGATCTTTCCCTTCCTCAGTTGTCGGGGAGCGGGTGGAGGCTCTGCCAGACTTAGCCCCAGACTCAGGGGGCGGGCGGGGGGGCAGAGGGGGGCGGTCCCGGCAGGAACTAGCATCGCTGCCCGCCGAGCTCATCAGCCAGATCGGAAACCGCTGCCACCCAAAGCTGTATGAGGAAGGAGACCCGGCTGAGAAGCTGGAACTGGTGAGCGGCACCTCTGTGTTCATCTCCCGCGCCCAGCTCATGAACTGCCACGTCAGCGCCGGCACCCGCCACAAAGTGCTGCTCAGACGCCTTCTGGCGGCGTTCTTCGACAGGTCAGTGTCTGATTTTGGGGGGTTATTTTTGTAAGACTGATATAATAAAGATTTTATGGTTGATCATTTTTGCGCTTGTTGACAGCAGACAAAGATGTGCATTGTCCATTCAAGTATTTTATGTGTTGATGTGTATTTTTGTTTTGTTTTAACTTGCTCAGGAGCACTCTGGCTAACAGCTGTGGAACCGGCATCCGCTCCTCAACCAATGATCCCAGTCGTAAACCTCTGGACAACAGAGTTCTGCACGCTGTCAAATGTGAGTCATACAGAAGACGTACAGTGTATGTATACTGAGAGTTACATGCATAGACTGTATAAGGAAGATGGACGTAGCCGTTGGGTTGGAAAAGTGAAGCCAAAATGAAATTGCCTTAAACCTCAGTGTGCTAGACCACGTTGCTTTCTGGTGACTAAAATGTCAACGTTCAGGCTTCTGCATCATAGACTGTATATAAAAGATGTACATATAACACATAGTATGAATATGGTCAGGTGTTGTTTTAATTTTTTATGGTTTGGGGAGGAGGGAGGGAGGGAAAATAACGAGGGTGGGATTAGTTGGATTATGTTTTAAATAGATTGCTTTATTGAAGTGAATTTTATTGGTCTTATTGGTCTCTTTTAACTTTCTTCTTTGTACTGTGAAGTGCCATTTTGAAATGTTATGTTCAGTTCAGTTCAATTCAATTCAATTTTATTTATGCAGCACCAAATCACAACAACAATTGCCTCAAGGTGCTTTATATTGTAAGGTAGACTCTACAATAATACATACAGAGAAAAACCCAACAATCATATGACCCCCTATGAACAAGCACTTTGGTGAAAGTGGGAAGGAAAAACTCCCTTTTAACAGAAAGAAACCTCCAGCAGGACCAGGCTCAGGGACCAGTTTGGGTGAGAGAAGGAAGAGAGAACAAAAAACATGCTGTGGAAGAGAGCCAGAGATGAATAAATAGTATGATGTACCCAAAGGTTGCCCTTTGTTCAAAATTAAAGTCTACAAATCAATGACATCACACTGGCCTATGTTTATATACAGTCTGTGATTGCATGTCAGTATGCAAAGCTGCAGCTTTAGAATTTAGGCTCTAATGCGTTTCTGCGTTTCTCTGCCATATGTTTTTCTCTCCCATCATTTCCTCTTATTGTCCCTTTACATACTCTTTGCCTCGCTCCAGTCTACTGCCAGAATTTCGCACCGAGCTTCAAGGAGAGCGAAATGAACGCCATCGCTGCCGACATGTGCACCAACGCCCGCCGCGTCGTTCGCAAGAGCTGGATCCCCAAACTGAAACTGCTGATGGCCGACAGCGACGCCTACTCCGCGTTCCTGGCCGACAGCGTGAAGATGGAGGCCGACGCGTTGGGGACGGAGCAAGGCTTTGACCCCACCTCACTGGAAGCCGTGGCTGCAGCGGCAGCAGCCAACAACAGCGAAGCGGGAAGCGGAGCCACGCCGGCAGACGGCCTGCAGGGGGCGGGGGGAGATAGCAGCACTTTGTTTTGAGTGAGTGAACGGACAGATAGATAGAATGGACAGATTGATGGAAGGAGGGGTGGAATATCTCTGGGGTGATGAGAACAGAACGATGGCCACTCTGGTCTTGATGACAGTAATCACTCCTCCCCTAGCCCGCTTTATGTTTGGGGATCTGTTTCTTCAGTTTATTCTGCTTGCCTTCCTTTGTTTGTCCACGTTTCTGTCTGTCTCCACAGCTCAGAATGAATCTCTGCAGTTTGTTCTTGAATGCTCTTGTGGAGAGAGATGGTGAAAGGTAGCAGAAGGAGGTTCGCTCCCCCCCAGTTCCTCATCCTTCTGCAACCTTTAGAAACCTGATTTCAGCCTTTATTTTTTTATGTTTTTAAGAGTGTGTACTGTCACTAAAAACCTTTTCTTACCATAATCACAGACATTCCCTAGGGGAAGGGGGGCGGGGAGGGGTAATCCAGTTTGGAGAAGGCTCCTTCTCCAAACTTCGGTAACACTGTTGTTTTTGATATTGAATGTATGCGTGGCGAAGCATTCGAGATGCAGCTGAGTGAGTTTGCGCCGAGCCCTTTTTGTTTTGTTGTTTTGGTTTGCTTTGTTTCATCTGCCAGATGAAAGCTTCTCTGAGTGTTTGGGCTCGGTGAGGTCAGGGGTTGAAATGAATATTAATATGTATATTGGCATGGTTTATGATCTCCTCGACCTCATCCTGCTCTTTAACCCCAGCTGGCCATGCCGGGAAGCTGACCTACTGGTCTTCAGAGAAATGCTCTGACTTGGACAGCAGCTTTTCGATTGGCTGGTGATATGTTCAGATTTGTTAGCGAGTTTAAAGCCTAATCAATAACCTTCCCCCCTCCCAAACCTTCCCCACATTTTGGCCGTTAAACTCTAAAAAAACAAAAAATAAAATATCAGTTTGTTTACTTTTTCTGTTTTTTTTGTCACCTTTGTGTGTGATGTTTGCCGAGACTCCTGAAGGAGAGGAAATTTGTTACCGATGATTGTAAAAGAGTTTGCGTGTGATAAATGCACTGTGTTATTTCCTGCGGTATGAGTACAATCGAACTAAGTTTTTGTATGTATCGGACTGAGAAAACGGCGTGGCTTTATTTTAAAAAAGGCAAAAAGAGAAAAATAAGAAAAAGCTAGAATCCAATTTCTAAGTTTGTTTAACTCCCCCCCCCTTTTAAAAAAAAAATCTGAACGAAAGTCGAGAATTGTCTTAAAGCGAGTTTCTGCCTGTGAGCTTAGTGACAAATTGAGTGTGCGTGTGTGTGTGTGTGTGTGTGTGTGTGTGTGTGTGTGTGTGTGTGTGTGAGAGAGAGAGAGAGGATACAGCGGCGGTGCTCTTTTCATGTCAGCTCATGTTTAAATTGATTTCTCCGAGAATATTAACGGAACGGGCTTCCTCAGGCTCTGCCCGCCTGGATATGTGCTCGCCTGGCACGGACAAAGGTGCTAATTCAGGCGGCGGTACATGGCGAGCAGCACGGCTCCGTGCGTGCATGTAGGTGTGCGTCTGAATGGCCGCACAGTTTGTGCTGCCGCAGAGAGTGTGAGAGAGAGAGAGAGGGAGGCCAGACAGAGCGTTTCACACACGCTTGGGCGATTCATTCACCCATCACTGCAGTGAGCACACATACATGCGCTAATACGCATTTGGGGGCTGTCAGCTGCATCAGCTACAGTACACCAGAGCGACGTGGGAATTAAAGGGGAATCGCATCGAAGCGATACGTTTCAGATACATTTTGTGTTTGAGGAGAATGCAGCAGATAGAAAAGTGGCTCAAAGTTGTGCGCGTCTGTTTGAAAGTGAAATTCCTGGCTTTATAAGTGCTTATAATGACAAAAAAAGGAAAGCTGCTAAATGATAGAAATCAGAGAAATGTTGGCATAGAAACAACCCTGAAAGTCGTTGCAGTCATGGTTGCTTTTGGTACTTGCGTGTGTGAGTGGTAGCTTTCAAGAAAAAAAAAGAACAAGAGTGCAGAAGTAGATCTTTTCTTTAAAAAAAAAAACAAACTGGCCTTCAGCTTTGGCAACGCAGCTGAATACAGTCATCAAGAAAACCCTGGAAAGGGCTTTCTGCTCTTGTTCAGTTTGAAGTTGAATGCAGGTCCAGAGGAACGTTTGATTTAGTCCCACTGGTACTCTGATCATCAATGCCACTGTGCTGCCTGAAATGGATGTTCAGTGTGTTTTATAACCAGCTTTTAATTTCAGTCCTTTAATCTTGCCTGTTCAAATCAAAGCAGTGGCAATCAATAACAATGAACTAATAACTAGAGCCTGACTGATACATATTGATTGGGCAATATTGGCATCACAGATGAATCTGTATTTCCATATATGTTATTCTTTATTGAAAAAGAAAATCATCCTTGAAGCAATGTAGAAATGGAAAGAGCGACTTCCACTTTATTGTTTACAATATTCTTAGCGGTCTCAGAGCGCAGTGCTAGTTTGTGAAATGCATTGTTGTATCACGCAGAGCTCAGATTTTGGTTGGTGCTTCGCTAAGCAGCAGGAGGAGAGAGATGCATCTGTCTCTGAGGGGAGTTCTTGTAGGTGGTGAAGATCTGTGAAGTAGCGCTTTTTGCTAGGAGTTTTTTTTTTTTTTTTTTTTTTTTGAGGAAAAGGTCAGTAAATGGCGCTAAATGTTCCAGCAAAGTCACTAAGTTGGCAGTGAGGTGAACTGCAGTATGACAGTTGGTGCTGCAATGGAGAGGACTGAGACTGTATATACCTGCACATCCAGAAAAATATGTGAAAATCTTTATCCTGCTATAACTTGTAATTGAATAGACAAGCACAGGTGTGCACTGATGCTACTCTTTCAGTCTTGAGACTGAATCAAGACTGAAATAGTGCTGCGACTGGTGCTGACAAGAGACAGGTGAGGTCAAATAATATTAATGGAGTTAATGGAGATAACCCTGTTACATTACTCCAAGTTTAATAAAAGCTTTCTAAGAATTGTTAAAGCAAACCTAATGAGAGTGACGGAAGAACTTTTTATTAGATTTAGTCAAAGTTAAGAGTAGCAGGCTCGAAATGCCTCCACACAGAGCAATTAAGAATGGAACCAAATGGATCAGCCCACAATCAAACCTAAATAGCAGATTAATGCATCTTTGATCTCAGTTTTCATTGTTCCTCTAAATCCCAGTGTCAGTCAGGCTTTGCTAAAATCTTTTGTCACTTTAAATATTCCCCCTTTCTTAATTCCTGTCTTCCTGCGTGCGTTACTTTCAATTTTCCACTGTGACAAACACATCAAAAATGTGGATTTTTTGTTTTTTGAGCACGGCAAAACCCAAACGGGACACAGGTTTTATTTCTTTTTCCTAATCATACGTGGCCCGTGTTTTTGCGATAGAAGAAACCTGAAGCACCTTAATGCTAGTGAAGTGGGCAAGTGGAGCTATTTGAACTGTTTAATATCATTGTCACAGTTTCATATTGCTGTTGTGACTCTACCCACCGCCCACACACATACAGACACACGCTCGCACACGCAAAGCAAAGAGTCTGTAGTCAGACTGTCTCTTAAGCGAAACGCAGAAACAACCCTGTACAAGATCTTAGTGTGGAACCAAAAAAAGCAACCTCTGGGGCGCGTTGAACGAAACCAGTTTTTATAGATCAGTGTTATGAAAAAAAATTGTCTGCTTTTTAAAACCTGTTTTATGAGGAAAGATGTTTATGTGTTTGTTTGTTTTTTTTAATATACATATTTAGATGTAAATCAAATGCTATTAGTCAAAGAACCCTTAGTCTTGAGACAAGCACCTAAAGGCCAAGAGGAGGAAGTGGGGAGCCGCCTTGCCCCACCCTCTGTGATGGACCACATGGTACGATCCACAGAGACTCTACCAAGTTCGATACCTGGGGACAGAACAAGTGTGAGACATGAACAAGGAAAGAAAAAGAGAAAGATATAGGATGGAGAGGGAGGGGGGGGATGGACAGTTTGCACTTTTTTTGTTTTGCTTTCTTTTTCTGTGCGTTGGCTCATTCGCAGTGTTTTGTGTAAGAGCACTGTCTTAAATGAGGGAATCAAAAAGAATCTGGGAGAGATGGAGAGGGAAGGAGAGGACAGTGTAAGCCTCCATAGAGAAGAGGGACGGATGAAGAGGGGGGGAGGGTGGTGGCTGGGACGCTCGGATGATTTGGTGTGAATGCATGCATGCATACGGCTGTGTATGTACGTGTGTGTGTGTGTGTGTGTGTGTGTGTGGTTTCTTGCAGGGTGGGTTGGGGAGCTGTTTGTAAAGGCTTTGTGTGTGCGTGTGTGTGTGTGTGTGTATCTGTGGGCGAACAGAATGTGTGGGTGTGCTTTTAATGTGTGTGTGTGCGCATATTAATGTATGTATGCAGTTTTTTTCCTCTCCTCTCGCTTCCCTCTATCTCCATTTATGGCATGTTAATGTCTGCCTCCTCACTAGAAAGAGCTTTTGACAGTGGTACTGTGTGTGTGTGTGTGTGTGTGTGTGTGTGTGTGTGTGTGTGTGTGTGTGTG